CCCCAAAACCCCAAAACCCCAAAACCCCGGCTGAAAAAAATGGAAGTTTAATAAGGAAATAAAATAAAAGAGTGAAATCTTATTTAGGTTTGATTATTTAAATCAGTGGGTATTAACAATATTTAGAGTCATCGACAGATAACTATATAATAATATTTAAATAAGAATTTTTGCCTATCTTGAGGCTTGGCTTCTCCAAACTATGTCAGCAATTTCAGCCTAAAACAGCCCCTTGCCAGCCCAAACTATGTCTTCTAGCTCAAGACATCAGAAACGACACATGAAAATCAAGATTCCACGCAATTAAGCAAAGGTAGTGTCCGACGAGGAGATGCAGGCATTATAAGTCGAAGCTGCATCCAAACTGTTCTACAGCCAGATTGTGCACAACATGCAAACTTAGTAACAGATTTCAACAGAGTCAAGAAGAGTCCCCCACAAAGGCAACCATACTTGCTGTAAGTCTTGAAACTCTAATCTAACCTTTTATAGTGAATGTTTTTGAAGGCGAACTCATCTACAGCGATATTCAAGTGTATAAGTTCATCTCCTTATTTATGACATGCTTTGAGGTCGGAATTGAGGTAGTAGTAGCCTCTCTCATCTACATCGATAGACTTTTAACCTAAAACTAGGACCTGTTCATTACGGATAGCAAGGCAAAGTCTATTCTGCATACCGCAATGACGCTTGCTTCAAAATTTTACTTGGACAGGTATGAAAAGAACACCATATTTTACGCCGTTGGTGGTCTTTCAAAAAAGTAAATGAGAAATATGCAAGATCTATATCTCGACCTGGTTTCTTTCAACCTCTACATTTCTGAGGAAGAATACACCTCATACCTCAGCAAACTTAAGTCTATGATAGCTTTCAAGTTTTACTAGACTGGCTAGATCGTTGTACTAGAGAAAAATCTAAGAAAAAGAGTTTCAGGAGTTAACACTCATAACGATAAGATTTAAAACGAAGGTTCGACCGAAAAATCTAATAACCTAGTTGTTCCAGCACATTCTTTCAAAAAGCAGATGACTACTTCATCTCTCTTTGGCAACAGATCCGACTCATCCTCCAATCTAAGTGCAAAGTCAACTAACCCTAGCAGTGTTGATGGAGACAATAAATCTGATAATGAAGCAATTCCAGTCCTTTCCACTTTGGCAATCTCTTCATAAAAGAACTCTAAATCGTTCAAAACTCAAAGGACTACAACTTTGTAAGAATTTCAAAAGGCTTCAGACCTCTCTAAACCACAAGAGAAGCCTAAGAGCTAGCTCAAGGCAAGACTAACTCAAAAGAAGAAGAGTATTTGCTCAATTTTCTGAGCAACCTAATCTTTAGACTGAGCCAGATTCAAATGGCGAAGCTAACTAATGAATTCTTTCTTAATAAGGGTCAGATCATAATGACAGAACCCTGACTAAGAATAGAAGTCAGTGCAAACAACCACACATATTTGTAAATTAAAATCAACTAGACTTTGTAAGACTTGTAATTATTGAAGTGTTCCTCTATGGGCCTTAAAACAACACCCTTTAGACCCAGCACATGCACCTTAAATAACCCGTCGAATCCTATTCAAAGTTGAGCAATAAATAGCAGCAGATAATGCAGAAGAGCAAGAAGCATGATTGAATCACAACTCGAGTATTATGAAGAGGAGTGATCAAATCAGTTTGGCTGTCAAGAGCTTACTCATCAGACTGCACTATTACATTGTTCTCTTTCGAGAATAGTCCCTATAAATTTCTGTAAATATGTTTATGATGGTATTGGTGGCACATTCTGTCGGGTGTGTGTCCCTGCTTTATCACTTAATTTGATTCAATAAGAATTAATCAAAACACATTCTTTAAGTCACTCGCGTATTTTAATAAGACCTCGACTGGGAACTATTATTAGTCCAGAGAGAGTAATAGTTATATTAATGCTTAATTTAATAGTTAAAGTATTTAATAAAGTCATCATTTGCAAATGTGAATTTCATTGCCATTCAATTCTCTTTGCAGTCTAGATTAAAGTACATACTATCTAAGATTTATTTGCAAACTATAATTTTTTGTGTTATTCTCTTTAGGAAAATCTAATAAAAACATAGTATTGAATTTATCTGTAAAGTTAAAATAGATATCTCAGTTTCTCAAGCTATCAAGTGACTCAGGATTATTTTGACAAATAAAGTAAATTAAGTAAAAAGATGAAATATTTTTCGTAGTTAAAAATTATTCCAAGATGTTCGACAAAATATTCAGACTGTAGTAACATGATTTGACTTTAGTGTAAAATAATTTACTTCGCAGGTATTACTTTGGTTTATAAATAAAGATTACCTTCTCATGAAAGTGAAAATAAGGATAGTTATATTATAAATACTTTGCAATCTGAGCGAAAAAGAATTAAACAAAAGATTCTGTGTATTTATTTACTTTTCCATTATTGTCTTTTTCAAGCGCTTAAGCTCTAACGGGGTTTTGGGGTTTTGGGGTTTTGGGG